ATTAGGTAGACTGCTGTTAACACAATAGATTATTGCAAAAGATTGCTCCATGTTGGCTGTATGTCCTGTTTGAACTAGATGATCTAAGATGGAGCTGTTAACAGTTTTACCTACACCTTTGCTTAACCACACGGGGAGGTGCTCACGAGCTCGAATGTACAAATTCCTAAAACATTTGCCAATATAACTTGCTCCACAGGAGCAGTTGAATTGATAGATACAGAAGGAGGTGGCTAGTCTAGGTAATTTATCTTCCAACCTCGAAGTGATTACTGGTCGTGTGGAGAACATTAGTTTTACATTATTCGGATGAATATGTAGAATACTATCAAGGAATACTACGCTTATCATCAAGTCAATTTAATTAATTAACTATCTCCTCTAAACATTGCCTGTGAAACATATGCTTATCATGGATAAGATCATTTTTAATTAATTTCACCATGATTAAAGCAACTAAAGAGTATCGGGAATGAACTTCAATAAACATTGAAATCTATTGTTTACATCTGTTTATCTCGTTGGTATAAACCAATTTTTAATTAAATAGCTCGTGTATAATTTACAACAACACTTGTAATTGAACAGCATAGTCAGGCTTTACTCTGATTTAAAATAGAAAACCAATATCGTTCGTTGATAATGTGTTAATCTGATATACACCATGAGAATTTTCATATTTCAAACGTATAGATCAGATGTGAATTCAATAAAAAGAAACTAAGGTTCTTTAAAATCTATACTGACTAAGTATTAACTGTATATGTAATTGGTATCATTTTTATTCAATTTACATTAAACAATATTATTATTTAATTAAAAGTAATTTTAATAAATAAAACTATTTTAATAAAGCAATAAGAAGTGATATAGAGGAAAGCAAAAAACAAAGAGGCAAAACTAAAGAATCTTGTGATATATTCAAAATTTCTTGTCAAAAAAAATTTATAAATAAAGAATAGAAATTTTGCTGTATTCTTTCTTTTCTTCTTATGTATTATCTCATTCCCGTGAACATGAAAGCATTATTATTATTATTATTATTATTATTATTATTATTTGTACTTTAACACATGATTCAAGATAAATATAACAATAGTATTCAAAAGATATTAGAATAACTAACATAGTGAACATACATGTTATTAGAAGAGAAACTTAGATGTGGAAAATTTTATAAAGAAAAACCATTTATTTTATAATTATAAAGTTATTTTTATATGTTATATTCATATTGAATTGTACTTTTGTCCACTTTTTTTTACCATATGTGAATAAAACCATTGGAAGGAAACACAATAAAAAGTAATGATAAAAAAATGGTCTACTTTTTTCTTTAATTTTCAAAATGTTATGAATAATAATTAAAAATGTCAGAGTTATAATGTACTTGCTTAAACCAAATGCCCAATGAAGACGAGTGATATATTCGCTCTATCTTTTATTCAATAATGCTGAAAATCATCCATTATAAATTTGATTAGTGTATTCAAACTTTCAAACGTTTGGGCTACTCATATTTTTAGTTGCGTAAATATCGCAGGAACTTTTGTTTTACACTAGATTATATTAATTACTGGTTTTTTAAAACCATCTAACGTATTCATGTTTAGAAAATATCTCAAAGCTACGTACGACAGAGTTAAATCAAAACATTAATAGAGTGTAGTAAATTCTTCTGTTTTGCTGGTCTCGACAGAAATAAGAACCTATCATTCTAAAACTTATATATTAGATATATCAAGGAATGAAATAAAATTTCATAAGAGCTCAGTCAACCGTAAGCATTTTTTCGAAAAGGATGAATGATATATAGCAACAGTTGCAGACGGTATTTTAGTTTTGTTTGAACATTCACTGGTTTAAGAGATACAAGGAAAGGATTTCTTGAAGAATCGTAATAAATTAAATTAATAATCCTATTTTTTAAGTGACTAAATAAATAGTAATAAATAAAAAGATGACTGAAATTGGAAAGTTTTTATAGTCGCCGAGTTATTAGTCAAGTTTACGGTTATAATGATGACATTTGGTCATACCAAAACAATTTTAGTTTAATCTGACACTTGGCAACAATAGTTTACGTGGAGACAAACGTTATTTATACTGATATCATTAAATCTGTTTTTGATTTATTCATTGTTCCACCGAAAAATGTTGAGTATGACCTTATTTTATATGACATTTTCTAGTCAAATTTAATTACCTCGTTATAATAGAGTTTTTACAATAACAAAATAGATAAACCAAGGGTCAATCGATTTAACTTTTAGTATTCTCAAATTTAGCTATCAAAACATTGTTATTTGGAAGAAAATTAAAAACTTTATTACCCTATTCAGGTTGAAACGAGAAAGTAAACAATGGTCTTGAATGCATTTTATGATACAGAAATCTCTGTATCTCCATAATAAGCACTATAGCAGCTACAAATGGGTCGAGACTCATGGAGAGGAGAAGAAAAGCAAAGATATTATATCGTGATTACGAATAGAGGCTGAAATAATATACGAAGCGCCTACCATTTTATGCAAAACCATGCATAATTTACGAGATCGAACTAACAACTAGATCTCAACCTCTCTAGAAATTAACTTGAACTTATATTCAGCGCTAATAACATATATAGTGTCACTGGGTAATATAAAAGGAAGATACTACTCAAAAGTAATACACTAAGACCTTTATAATAACCTATTAAAAACTTGTTAATCAATAGCAGACTACATACAGAGATTGAGATAGGAATCCTGTGATTTTGTTTATTTCAGGCGTATCACCGGTTTTCTGTAGAAGGGAATGGGCAGACAGTAACTGAGAGATTTACTATCAGCGGATCTATTCACACAAGATTTGATCTTTGTAGGTCGTATGGTAAAATTGCTACTGCACACAGATGATACCGTATAAAGCAAGTCGGTTGATTGGTTTATATAATTCTCGAATATGCCTGATATAGATTTTATCTCTCTTTCAAGTCACTTTAGAAAAATGGCTTAATAGAATCCCAAGAGTTTTGATATGTAAAATAACTATTTGCACTAAGACGTTGGAAAGAAACTAGAGTAAACCTGCAAATCCTTAAATGGATGGGACTTTAGAGAGGTCGGATTATTCGGATAATCCAGCTGCTCATATTTTTTGCATGGTTAAGAAGGAAATATATGCGTTATAAAAGGTGACCAGTCGATCGCTTGATAGAAATGGTTTGGAAAAACTATTTTGCAAGTAACGTTTGTTAAGCTTTTTATGTTCCACATCTTATCGGCTGAAGATGGTAACGTCAAAATCAAGCAACATGGTTATCGAAAATTCTATGATTGTAAATTTTACCTGTATGAAAATTAGAGATATTATATATTCTCTAGTCGTGTTGAAACGAACTGAACATTAAAACAACCTTTGTACAAAATTGTGTTTCTTCAGGTTACGTTAACGAACTATTTCTTTGATCTTCGGGACGAAAGCCTCTAAACTGTCTTAGATATACATATCCTGATCACGCGTTTTGAGATGTACTCGTATACGTATATAAACAAAATATGTATTACTATGGTCATAGTTTTAATGTATATGTTTTAGCACCAATGATTCTAAAAAACTATTAGGAATGAATTCTGGGGATTATTTCAGCCAGACAATAAGAATTTGATTTCAATGAAGGTTATATACAAATATACATTGCATATCTACATACAAAACTATCTACGGCTATAGCAAGGGTAGTCAGAAGCTCTTTTTAGCACGCGGTATAGGACTCAAATACTGTAAATAAAGAGGCTTTGAGGTATGTATAGTCATAATCAACGTTATTTTAACTCAGTACTACGTTTACAGTAAGCCTCACTGGAAGGCCCTGTAACTTGAACAATTTAGTGACAAAATGTTAGGTAAGTCATAAATATCACCACTTCAAACGACCGTAAAGAAAGATAATGTAGTCAAATACACTCTTAACAGCTTCTGTATTGTTTAAATAAATTGACTATAAACGTCGAAGTGGTATTGGCATTTTAAGTTTGGTAACTCAACCGATTGCAAATTTAGAACTCCTCCTGATACGTGGTAATTTATTGCTGAATCGTTAACAACCTTTAGAAGTTCTTGCATTCTTCTGTCATCAAACCTGATGTATTTTTGTGCACTTCAGTTTTTGAATATTTTCCTTCGCCATCATGAAGTCTCTCACAAAATCTGAAATGAATCAGAGAACTTTCAATTTTTCAGTTTGTTGGTAGTTTGCTTGGGTCACAAACAGCCAATTTCCACTTATTCTGTGTCTACAATGCCATTTTGTCACCATGATATAACGAATTTAATGTCAGCATTATCCTTGAATTTATTCAAAGAAGGTGATGTACAGTTACATAAGCATGAAATGAATAAATAGAGCGAAATACATATTTCTTCTCAAAGTAGTCCCCCTTTACATGAAAAGAGTTCGAAATAGTTGTCTTAAATCATAAAACCAAAGTTTCAATGGGAAGTGATTTCTAAATTTTTCCAATTCTAACTTTAACTTTTTAAAAAACCATTCATCATCTACACGAATATGGTCTCGCACACAAATGTTACGACTGTATAAAAGTTTGTGTTATAGTGAAAGTGAGGTCAAACATAAGAAACATTTGGCTCAAGAGCATAAAAATGGGCAAAGACTGCTCAAATGAAGACAACAGGTAGATAATTTTGCGTAAATTCAAAGATATTTAAAACCTACGGCCATATTAAGCATATATACCACTTTTCCCGCTGACGAAAGACATGAAAAAAGCTTCTTGTCGTCTTGTCTCTTTATTTTCCTCATGCTCATTTTTACACCTTATTGGCTAGCTTGGATACAATGCTCGTTTCTCTCTGACAAACCCTGATTTCTGACTTTAACAATATCGTTTAAGACATGCAAATAAACTCTCTCTTCTTACTGTTTGGAAAATAACCCACAAAGACGACCATATATTAACGAGTAATGTAGATACGAAACAACAAACGAAACGTACATGATAACACATTCTAATTACAAATTGTCTAATTTGCAAATTGACGAATCCCATTGAAACATTAAAACAACAGATGCGATTTTCGACGGTCGATCATCTCAGTATTACCGTTTATCAGCTATTGATCATTACGTTTTGAAATATTTAATTGGACTTTTTAATGGCTGTGATAATTAAATCGTTTTCGTATGTCTTAGGCTGAAAAACTCCGATCATATTGTCTCTGATGATAGTAAATGAATCTGCGGACTTTTATTCAGTGTGTCTAGTGACGTTTGATCACCATATCTATTTGACGACAAAAGAATTCGTCGTTTTTCATGCGACAGAAGTGTGGAGATAAGCATGACAAATTTCAATTTATAAACAGTCTTTGGTAATATTTGCATTTATTTTGCTAATTTTTACAGTCTGTACATTTACCACAAAATGATTGTATACGTCGTTTAAGTGTATGAACTTGAACACACTTTCTTCCATCGTGTTACACGCATAGCATGACCCGAAGGTCACTGAAAGTACTGGACTACCGTTTTATCCACAATGCAACTGCTAAAACTGAAACTGCTACCGAAATCCTTCGTTATGATTTATTTGCTCTAAGTTGTCGTTAATGTGGGATAGTATCATTGCATACATCCGAAGATATACTATTGACATCCCGCGGCCCGTCTGAATATCTGGGCTATGTGTTTCTTTCATCTAAATATTTCAGCAAGTCCTTTTTATTTGTTTCAATACATCATTATGTCTGTTAATCGTGTTCTACCAAAAGTATATGGTAAGCTTGGAAATATTAAGCTTTTGCATAAATTCAGGATTAAACACTGTAATCTCTTAGTCACTTAATTCGCTGCTCTAATTTGCGACCTCTGACTATCAAGATAAAGGAAAAGCCTTCACATTCATGACACGCTGACGTATCTGACTTTTGTGCAGTGGATGGATTTCCATTAAGAATAAAACTAAGGGCCGATATTTCGTTATTCCACTGCCTGTGACGCTCAGAACGGCTAAATCAAGATGATCCGCATAAGATACGAAGATATCAAACTAAGACTGATCAAAATACAGTCAATATTAATAATAACGAGACAAGATCCTCTCTAAATGTCACATATTTATGACAAGTTTTATCATACACTATATATTATAACCATTTCTGTGGCCGAAAGATTTATGATTGTTGTTGTGTTTATTTTATGAGTCAAGGTATGATCTGAATTATATCATTTATGATTGTGCATTTTGGATTCATATTTTCATCATCATGAACAGCTTTCTTAAAATTGCCAGGCTAAAGTTGTGTTTAAATCTTGTTTACTCAAGTAGTATTTCTTATCTTTTATAATTCATCTTTATTTTAACTTGGTCAAGTTTATGATTCCATGAAAATCGTGTTATCCTTCACACGATATGCATTATTATCTGTAATCAATGGTTTGTATATTGATCGTATAATGAAGCTCCTTTCAAAGTCTCTTCTGAGCGTGCAAGGAAATCATTCAGCGAAATGCCGCTCGACAATTCAAGAAAAACTTTTTCATCTCGGAAATCGCAAGAAAGCTATTTTCATGTCTGCAGTTTATATAACTGCTGACTTTATTCCTCCAGAATCGCAGGTAGCTAGGCAAATTACATAACTGGTCTCACAAAAGTCATCTTAAACAGCAGTGACCTCAGTAAGATTCATATTTTAAGAAGGGGAACACATCAGAAACAGGCGGAGTTTTTGCTGAATAATTGCATTTTGCAGTTCACTCACTTAGCATTCATTCGCTATTTCAACGGTACCCACTCAAGAGGTGCTGCTTGTAATGAGTGCACTTTTCGTGCCTTAAGGTAACCCTCGTGCTATTGATAGAAGAAACCAGACAAGTAGTGAATAGGTCTTTATTTCGATCTTCGCGCAGTCACAGTGGAGCGTGGGATTATCTGTTCAGACAAACAAAGGCTCTCAACATTCAAGATAATAGGGAATATAACGCTTATGAAAAATAAGGAAGTGAATGAATACTTGAACAATACTGTTTTGGCATAAGCTTGGTTGTTTGGGGTCAACTCTTAACCAACCAACCTGAGCTGTTACATTAGCTTCCCCCTAGAATCGACTTTCGTAGGAACGTCGGTTCGATTAACCTATCTATCGAAAACACCTTAGTTCTATTTCTCATCCCGAGGGAAAATTATCAACTCGCTCACTATTTGACTTACAATCAGTGACGACTAACGCTGTCAACGATAGTCCATGGATGTCTCCTCATTTACTAGTTTGTCATCTTATTTTGTAGCATGTGATCTATTCTACAACTATCGCTGACGGTTTACTGCGTGCTTTCAAGAGAAAGAGTGTGAGAATGTGGAATAAGAATATCTGAGGAAGTGCCGCGAGCGGGCTACCCAACACCATGTTGGTGAGGTACGATTTTTCCATGCTCAGACCGGCTATCAGGTGTTTACTCACCTGCCTCTTTAGTCGCCCTCAAGTAAAAAGTAAAGAAGAATCTACTTCAAAGGTAATGGTGAAAACCAATCACACCTGAAGAACTGCTCCACTGCCTGCATAAAAATAATAAGATACAAAATGGAAATACAAAAATATAATTTATAATTGTTCGGTTCCACGTAAGTGATTGGCCTCCAGAAAGGATTGGTATTCTGGAAGAAAATAGACATAGTGTAGCCATCTTATGTACGAAAAGGTATGAACACAAAAAAAAACTTTTTCATAATGCATATATGTAAAAGTGTAAACTTGCTAGAAGTTGGACTCATTGTCAAACCCGATCAAATGTATGACCTTGGGCCTATGACGACCGCCTTTTATAACCAGGTACGTAACCAAGGGTGCATAGTTGTACTCCACAAAACGGAAAAGAATATACGGTTAAGGAGGAGAAAAAAATTGTGTAGATTATGAGGATTAAGTACAATTGTGTCAAATACTCTTTTCTGGTTTGATCTAAGTATGCATGATATATTGAAACAATATTTCGTCAATTCATCCAAGTAACGAATTTGTCTGCACCTTAGAAATGTGTAAGTCCTATTACTCATTAGTATTATATACGATTAATCGGTAAAAGGAAAGATTGCAGTCATTCGCCCGTGGTTTGATGTGGTCTAATGGCTAGGCACACGGTCTAGCATCCAGGAGGGCAGAGGTTCGAGTGCGTGTGGGGCTAGCGTTTTCGTTCACCAAAACCCCCTTCAATACGATGTTTGTTGGCCATATGTTGCTCAGATATGAGAGAAAGATAACAGGAGGACGGATTGATATGTCAAAGTGCCATATTGGAATAGTACAAGTTCTTTGTTTTTATTAATAATAATGCTATAGAAAAAAAACTACAAGTGTGGTAGATTTCCATTTTACGTTATAATTAAACCAACGAGAAAAAAAAGGTATATATATATAAGTTATTGACATAACATGTTTTTTTTATAACGCTAGTGTTAAGTTCCAGGATTTTGTATGGACCACTAATAATAATTGGTTTAACGTTAGCATAGCTGTGATATTCATATTTTAGTTCAATGTTGTGATTACTTAACAGTTCCCTTATAAGTTGTGTTTAAAATTAGGTATGTGGAATCAATGCGGCTAACATAGTAACCTTACAGTAACGCACTGTACTATATCTTCACGGTTATTGATTCTTAAATGTCAGAAATTAAAAAAAATTTGAATATTGCCAATAATGATGGGTTATATGATCACACTAAAAAGCATGCTGTAGGAAAACTGGTTAAGTCATTATGTAAGTTTCCTAAACATGAAAAAAAATGATGAGAACTTTATTAAGTATTTGACCATGGTTTAATCCAAAATGTTTTGTCTAGAAAATTACTTATTAATAGTAGTATTAAGCGTATCAAGCTACTAAACACATCTTCGACCGAAAACTTTTAGAAGTAGTTCATATGGTATATATGTATAGCCAGTCTACGTGAAAAATGTATATAGATATATAAGAAGTACAGCCAACATAGTTAATTAACCAGAAAAAGAAATTATAAAACTCGCCTGGGTTGCTTTTTGAATTCGTTGTATTTGCCAGTGTTAGTTGTATGAGTTTGATTAAAATCCGCAGCCATCGTTTCGGAATACCTAGCTTATGTGTCCAGTATTTAAAAAAAATTTAACATAACACTTATATATCAAAGGCAAAAGGTCTGGGGAGTTGTAGGTGAGGCGGAATGAGGAGAAAAGTTATTTTTAAGTAGATGAAGGGTCTGATTAGCTACGTGGTTAGATTTTATCCTGCAGCTGAAACTGTCAACATCCTTGATTGGCTAATCGGATGTGCCCAGCGAACCGTTTTAGTCATTTGTAAAGATTTATCGTTTTTGCATTTCGATTCCGTAATGGATTTGTCAGTTAAACGATCTAACAACACGTATGGTGGTTCATGATCTAGATAAGCCGGCTTTAGCCTATCAATACTTACTGTGTCGATGTTTCCATGTTTTTCTATCACGAAATATTTAGATTTTCTTGAGACGACTTTGAAAGGACCTTCAAATGGAGGGCTAAGTGGTGCTTTTATTTTGTCACATCTTATCCAGACGTGCGTGCAATTGCTTAGGTCTTTAGGTACATATACGGCACGCGATTGTTCGCGAGTATTAATTGGCTTAAGTTTGGACATATGGTCCCGTAGTTGATCTACGTAGTTTCCTAAATTAAGTTTTTGACTGTTAGTATTGGGGTTAATAAATTCACCTGGTAGTCTCAGAGTTGTTCCGAAAACCAGTTCCGCAGCTGAACACTGTGCGTCAGTTTTGACAGATGTTCGTATTCCCAACATAACTAATGGTAGGAATTCTGTCCACTGATTGGGGTTTGAGTGAGATATAAGGGCGGTTTTTAGCTGACGGTGAAAACGTTCTACCATCCCATTAGCCTGAGGATGATATGCAGTGCAGCGTATCCTATTGGAGCCTAGAAGTTTAGCCAAGTTATTAAATAGTTCGGATTCGAATTGCGCTCCTCTATCCGTCGTTATTGTTATGGGTGTACCAAAAA